CTCCGGCTAAGCGCGATCTAATTGATTAACTTTATTCGTTAATAACTCTGTAAATAATGGTCTGAGCCAAAATTGAAAGAGGAACTTTTAGTTCAAAATTTCATTCTCTTTCACGCCTTGAAATATTAATTAAGCGTTACGGGACACTCTGTATACATAATTACTCTATATTATTTACTATAGATACTTCCAACATCCTCTTAAACGATTCAATTCTTACACGTTGCTTTATCTTGGTTGGCAAAAAATTGCACATTTTTATTTCTTCGTAAAACAGACTCTTTTGCGTTCTTCTAGTTCTACAGAATGTTAATACAATGTTTCCGGCCTGTCTCGTTTGTCTATCACATTCACTTCCCATTATTTCTAATCTATTTGCTTAGCGCCATCGGTGCCATGTTATTATATTTAAAATTTTAAAAATAAGTACACCCACATTATAATATAATCATTGTCTTACGGACATAAACTGCAGTGCCTGCAGCATGTGTTCAACTTTGGTATATCTATTGCACTGCAAAATAATTCTTATGGCTCGGTTTTGAGCTATTTGAAGTTTGCTCAATTGTGTTTCTCCCATTCCAACTAATAGCGTAGCACAGCTATATTCAAAATGAAATGCTATGATCGCTTATATACAATACATCTAGTGCTTATATACATCTAGTGTATACTAATACGAAATTACCTATTCTATTTAAAAAAACTAGTCTTTTTTCTATTTTCTTTAGCATATAATCACAGTGATCTTTGAATTGGAATTTATCATCGATAATTACGCTAAGATATTTTATTTTTTTAACATGTTTCAATTCAATTTCGTCCGAACATCTCAATATAATATTATCTTTCTGTTCCTTTCTTACATTTCTGATTATCAAGTATTTTGTTTTACTCGCATTCATTTTCAATTTATTTACATTCATCCACTCTTCTACTATGTTAAATACCATGTCCATTTTCCTCTTTAATTCCGCATTACTTTCCCCATTTACATATACTAATAATGTATCATCTGCAAACATTTTTATATTACACTCTTCTGGACAAAATTCTATTAAATCGTTTATATATGTTATAAATAGTAAAGGCCTTAGTACCGATCCATGCAGAACTCCATACTCCGTTTTGATACACTTTGACCATTGATTATTAAATCTAACTTGTTGTGTTCTGTTGCTTATTGTTAGATATGATTTAAACCACTCTAGTACCATCTCATATTGATCTATTTTCCCAGTAATCTTGTTCTATCTATCGTTTTAAATGTCCGTTTTAAGTCTAGGAATATTACTTCTATTATTTTTTCCTCACTAATTACACGGGTCAAGACAAAATTTGACTTTGACATTAAAGTATGAAATTTCGATAAATTAGATCATAGATGAACGAAAAAAAATTATATGGCCTGAAAAAGTTTGCTTTTGTATCCAGGAGAACGTTTGAACGATATTTTTAAAAATTTGTGATTTTAATCTTTATTTTATAATAAAACGATACAAATATAAATGTACATTATTTTTATTAATTTTTATTATCAAATTAGCTTACAAAAAAAGTGGAAAATAATTCAAAAATGTACGGTATTACTTTTTCTTTTATGTTCATAAGTACTTTCCCTCAATAAACCCCAAATATAGTCTCCCATCATATTTTCATTGTATTGGCCTTGATAACGTTGTTCGAAGTTCATGATATCTTGATGAAAACGTTCTTCTTGCTCTTCTGAATAAGCCCCCATG